AAAGCGGAATCTTTGATGTCTACCGTTGAATATAGTGTAATATACCGTGAAAACCCACAGTGGAGAATCCGAGTCCAAAAAACGCGGGTACCCCGACGAGATCTTTGCGCCGTACAACGTAACTCGTTGCGCTGATTCCGAATATGTAAAAATCTCGAGACTCGCTGCTCTAGAAAAAGACCATCAAATTTTGATATGATTCCATGGTTATTGGGAATGAGTTTATCACGGAATCGAGCGGATGAAACAGATGATAACCGATATTTAGATAATACTGATACAAATTCTCCACCACCAGAAGAAATGTTTTTGCAGTCGTTAGATCATCCTCATTTCCCATCATTAGAACGTTATCTTGGAGCAGATGATTATTTTGATTATATTAAAGACGATGATCCGTATGATACAAGGAAAATGAGACAACACGTAGGAGACGGCATAATGAAAAGATCACCAGAACAAATGCATCAAAATCTATGTAATCTTTATAAAGATTGTTGCTTGGTTGGAATTAGAAATGTCGGAAAATGCGGTTTATCGGGAAAATATTCAGATTTGCTATAATCATGGAATTTCGAAATTTATACCACAGATGCTTTTTTACTCTACATTTTAGACCATCGAGATTGGCCTCTTGGGTTGGTAAAGTTTTCCTCATTAGAACAGAATGATATCCGGCAGTATTTAAAACGCATAGGTGCTGTAAAACATGTTGATGATGATGATAAAATAATGAATGAAAGAAATGTAACTGCGAATCGATAGAGAGATTAAATATTATTGTTGATGATGCAACATCTATTTGTCTAAAGCATCGAAGTTCATTTGGTATTGGTTGGTTTCAGAGTAAACAGTGTTATCATCCTGATCATGATACCGAGCGTCCAGCACATTCAACAGATTGTCGTCCTGCTTCGCTAGATGTTTCATCTCGTATCCAAGGTTTTCCGATCGGTGGTTGGTAAGTTATGAGCTTTTTTCAGTTTATGAATTCTAAACAAGTAAAATCCTCGAATTCTTAGTTTATGTACAATACATAGAAAAAATCAGCAGAAAATTGATCGCCACCGTCCAAGCATGGATGACATTACAATTGGTACTCAAAGCAGCAATTTTATCATTGATGATACGCGTACACATGTGAATCGAATTCTTGAACAAGCTAATATTAGTCCGATTAATTCTTAATCTAGAAAAACCCTCAAACAACAACCAGCTAGTGGAATTAGACGTCTGTTATCAAAGTTTAGACGTACAGTCGATACACTTCGTTGTAAAGTATTTTCCTTCTATGTACTATCTCTTTTACAATATAATGTTTGCGGACGTTTTTT